CGGGAATTGACATATGATTAATGTTCATTCTCTTTAACGCATATTGCCAACCACCACGATGCCTTTTATAGTACTTTTTCGTAACTTGTGCAGCGGAAGGTCGTAGGCTTTTCATAAAAGCGCCTGAATAGGTTATGCGATTAATAGACATAACTATAAATTAAAACAAATGAAAAACAGATAACTTGTTGAAATAATCAGATGGCAGAAACAGGTAGCCCAGATATTCATGCAGGCCGCTGTTGTTTCGTTGATAGATGAATAGGTGGAGACATTTCTGAAGTTGCACCATCCATAACTTGTTAATAAAGAAACCTTGACTATACCGTTGGTTGTACACTGGACATAACTACATAAGGCAATAGCTGATTGTGGGATAATATTACTACACTGCTCTGCAGGTACGGCGGTCACTACTTCTCCGACAACAACTGAACTGTAGTTCTCATAGTCAGTGGTCGTTAAATGATACTTTTTATCAAACTCAGTCTTTAACTTCTTTGACCTTCTGTAAAAGATTGATTTGGGACAACCCATCAATTTTAATTATTTACTAGCTTTAGCCCATCTTTTAGCACTTTCATGAAGCCCTAAATTATTAGTCTAAGAGAAACAACTAACTGCAGTTAGATTGAACAAAATAATTAATCGAAATTTTGGACAGTACAAATAATCCATCTGTATGGAGTGAGAATTTTGAAAAAGTGATTAAAAGCCGATGACGCACTGCCTCGTAACTGTTTGACGTTCTAAAACAAAACCTCAAGATCGTTAGTGTATTCGTGACCAAAGTTCATGATAATATTTTAAATAATACTTATTAATTGTGACTTCATCCTCAAAGGATTAAAAATGCACTGGTGATGAAATGTTTGTCTGGAAAACTGCGCAACACAGATTTTGAGGGTTTTCCCAAAAATTTCCCCAAAACTTGGGAGATTGGGCATTCTGTGATCTGGTGGTAATGTTTGACTAGACACATTCAGCTAGTAGTCTACCTTAAATCTAAGAAAAGTAGCATCGATGCAGAGAATTCATCGAGTTATTTATGGTTACTTTGGTTTTTGAATTCAGGTGTGTGACATTTCCGCATGACCAAGAAAGTTCGGTGACTGTTGTAAGGTCACTAGACTATAGCTATGCAATCGAAACATCTAGGGTGATTATGTAGGAGTTAACCTTAACTCCTGGACGTTTTTAGAGAGACATCGAAATTGTTTGGAAGGAGAAGGTTAGGAAAAAAGAACGGCAAGTATATAGGTCGTGAAAATAAAAATAATAGTGCAATAACCACTTATGCCACTCCTTCATACAATGTTATACGTTTCGAACCCAAAATACAATCCCGAACGGTTATTTTTCATTAACAACAAGAGTGTTTTACTTTACCTAGGTTATCATCGCTTGTGTCATCTTGTTTAAGTACACTTTGTAATCTCCGCTTATTACAAAATATATCCTGAGTGATGGTCAGTTGCTTTCTTAACCTTATTCCTCGTATTTTAAGGCTCGTAGGTATGACACAAGGACGACGATTTTCTCTCCTGAAGGTAAGTTGTCACATTAAATGGCAATATAAGTTCTGTTTAAGGACGTTTGTACCAAGTGGAGTACGCAATGGAAGCGGTGGGGCATGCAGGCACATGTTTAGGGGTCGTAGCAAAAGATGGAATAGTCCTGGCCGCTGAAAAACGCTTTATAAATAACCTTTTGGACGAAACGGTTTTTTCCGAGAAGATCTATAAGATCAATGACGACATAGCCTGCGCCGTTGCTGGTATAACGGCTGATGCTACGGTTCTCATAAATGAGATGCGACTTATTGCTCAACGGTATGAAATCTTTCGTGTATTTATGTATATCTATTCTTAACTGGAGGTTTTTACAAGCCTAGAGTTTGAGCGGTATCGTAACCACGTTTTCTGTATATCCATGTTTCGGTAAGGAACATAAGTTACACAGCACTTGATTTGGTCCAGCTTTCATTTTAATCACCCTGTAGCTAAGTAGTGATGTGAGATACATGTTGTAGATATATTCTAGTGCTCTTCTACCATTATTACAGGCTTCCTGATATGTACACTTCTCTATACAGAATAACTCTCCCCATGATCTATGTATATTACTTTCAATGTGAGTGCCGTATAGTTCGGTTGTTGTTCGTGTATGAGTTGTGTTTGCTGACTATTTACAAACAAATATTGTCTATCTATAATTTTTTATGGTTTATGAGTTACTGTTCAACATAATTTTGTTACCGTGTACTCATGTCCTGTCTCTTAATGAATATAAGAGGGGAGGTTGCTTCTGACACCAAACAAACTATAGAAAAATCACTCTGTATCAGCTCCTAAGTATGTGTAGCTCAATTCCGAAGGCTTGGGATTGGCGTAGTAAATAAACTAGACGTCCGCTCTAAAATTCAAACTATAGTATGACTTGAGAGTTCTATAGGTGCCGAAATCGTTAGCGGATCATATTCACAGTACTAACTGTAGTTCTATAAACTGAGCTTTTTATGTCACCACTCACTTAATTGGCTTTTGAGGGTCGATAGACCCAATAAATCCTAAGTTTGGTCGTTTTCCACTTTTTGGTTGTCTATCATAGTTTCGAGAGCTGATGACCTTGTGTGGGATATTTTAGTTATTGTATCCTAGTGCTGGTTATGTGGATAAACCAAACGATCTAACACACCAACTGCCCTAGTGGTTAAAATAAAATCCTATATTTTCTTTTGTGGGAGATATTTAGTTGTAATTAAAAATTATAACTGGCAAACTCATGAAGTGGGTTCGAGCCCACCTAAATATGTCTTAGCGAATCTTTGAGGTTAGCTCAAATATATACGGAAGAACTTAGCACTTATTTTTTTTATTCAATTCAGTCGACGTGAATCGTACATATGCTTTCCACAATTCTGTATACTACAATTCGTTTGTTGTGACCTACTAGGAATCGTCGATAACTTCATCTTTAGAAATCGAGTACACGGTCAATGCGCTGTTCTCAGTCACCATGACTCATTTCCGTTGCGCGTAAATATACAAAATCTCAGAATGTTGTATATTTAGTAAAAACGGATTTTTACTCAGATTGACGTGTGTGAATAGGAAGAAAATAACGGAGACTACTACATTTGAAAAGTTCACAACTTGTAATCCCAGCTACTCCAAAGTGGCAGTTTTCATAACATTTAACCATGTGTATATTCACAGAGAGCATAAAGCTACACGGTAAATAAGTATGGGTTTGGCTACATCAGGGTCCTAAATTACTAGCAAAGACTGAATGGACTTCCCAACACTAGCCCCATCTTCCACTATATCACGAATCCATGAAGACTAGGGTAGCAATATAAAAGGTTAACGCTGAAGTTACTGCATGTCTGTTACTGTTGGGTCAAGTCTATTGCTGTACTATTAACTAATGCAATCTCTTGCATGTCATCTTCGAGTACTTTCTTCACATAGTACAAGTCGGTGCAACTGTTCTGTGGAAGTAGACTATTTTCATCTACGCAGATAAAGCATTGGAAGCTTCTATCTGAAGTTTGTGCTGATGATGTCGTTCGGAAGAACGATGAAAGCTCCACGACCAAACCATCCAGCTCAGAGAACAAAACTCCACCAAAATCATCCACCTGAGCTACAAATCTTCACCATCTCATTGGGAGCTAAAGCTGATTCTTATTATTCAAGTCTTACCTTATAGGTTTAAATAGTTAAATCCATTATTGTGTACCTTGAATTAGTAGTGAGCTAGTTACCTATATTATTGATACACATTAAACAGTACACTTAAAGACTGTTCGCTCATCCCAAATAGTAGATAAAGACTAAATTCTTTCACTTAAAGCGACTGTAAATAATATTATCCTAGGTTAAAGTTACTTGCGGTAGCCACCGTTTGACGGAAGAATATCATCCTTAACTTCTCGTATCTTCATTGTAGATATCTCTTGTCTTATCAAGAGCCTATGCCAGTGGAACAACTTGTGTGCCACATATGCGATCTTCAACATGGTTATACTATGTATGGTGGTAGAAGACCCTTTGGTGTTTCCATGTTGTTCATTGGATGGGATAAGCGTTATGGTTACCAACTATACCAAACGGATCCATCGGGGAATTTTCTGGGATGGAATGCTACATGTATTGGGTCAAATTCAACTGCAGCCGGCTCCATATTGGAACAGGATTACAATGCAGATGCAACAGTCGAAGAAGCCACAAAATTGTGTGTAAAAGTCCTGTATAAAACAATGACAATGTCTAAACTGACTTCGGAAAAGGTAAGTCCTTTTTCAGTAAAGATTCTTATTTCCTCTATCTGGGAATGTGACATTGTTTTTTTTTACTTAAGGTTGAAATCGGAGTTCTACAAAGACGTAATGACAAAACCTACGTTCGTCTTATCAATCAAAGTGAGGTCGATACTCTGATAAAAACAGTTGAAGGAGAAGAAACTCAAAAGAAGTAATACTTGTGTACAGTCATTTCTACGCTTTATAAAAATTTTTGAGAGCAATATGTTATTCTTTATTATTTGTTTGATGATAACAAGTTTGTTGGATTATTTTACCACATCTAAAGCGTAAACATTATAAAATGGATACATGTTGATACTCGATTTTTATCAGTCTGGAAATTATTTCGTATCACTATTATTTATCGGAATAGCCTTGAACAAAAGCTATTCATAATGTTGGAGTGACTTACAAACATGTACAGAACCTTAAGTGGTTGAAATATTGCATTTACTCCCCTGATAAGTAACACGAGTTAGGATCGGTAAATACAGAGTTTCATATGGTAAATCGGCATAACCGACTGTGTTCGGATCGGATAGTTGCTCTAACAGAGTCCTCATTTTTAGATCATCTACTCTTGGACACTAATCATTAAAGGTTATCAGTTTTTAACATTCAAGTCGAATAATTCTGGATAAACTGGTGGTTTTACTTCCACTAGAAGTTAACGTATCAAGAACAGCTTCATAAATCATATTAAATTGTAATAAACATGCATAAAAAACGTGATTCAACATTAGAAAGACAAGTAACGTTTTAAAACAACAAAACTGTCTAAATTAGAAATGGTTTTAATAAAATAATAGGCATAAAGTTTGGAATTAGGCGAAATTAAATGGCTCTAACGTTTGTACTGGATTTGAACTTGCGAAATTTTCTAACCGATGGATAATATTACAACGGAACCCTTCGGCGAACAAGTAGCTTTTCACATAAACTGACAACTTTATGGAACTTACTGATTGGTAAAGTTGAGGATAGGTTCTCTTCTGACTTCAAGCAGTTCTATATTTAAAATAGGTAAGAAATATTCATAAACACAGATATTAAATTTCTTCCTAGAAAAACGACTGTTGAAATATGAAGGACGAGAAAGTAAGGCAACTAACAGGTCGCTTTTACAACAAATCTCACTAGCTTTTAAGCAGCATTTTATTTGTCACACCGATCGCAACAGACATCTTGATGTGGTAATTGTATTTACACTGACGACCTAATCGAGTTTTGTTGTTAAGAACACTTGTTATCCTCAGCAAACCGGTCCCCGAATGAAAAGGCAGTGAATACAAGATTCAAGGGCGATCTTACCACAGGGTAGCGAAATTGGGTTATTCCACAAAAACAACCACAACTCTTAGTGACACTGCCTCCCCAAAATAAGAGCAGTTTAAAAGGAATGACGCTGAAAGTAGCACATATCACCTATCTAATGGACTCCCAGTGATGGCTGCAAGGCCTGAAAAATACACAGTAAACAAATGAGGAACTACTCCCTAAAACTTCATGTGACTAGTCTCGAGTTGACAATCCTGGAGTAACAAGATCCTCACTTCTAATCTGGTTTAGCTCCCAGGTCTTCCAAAACCAAATATCTTTTCACAATGTAAACAACCAAAAATTGTCAGTCGCCTGCACATCTGTAACAATATTCAAATTAATCCTGCTCACAACCAAATCCTATTATTTCTTTTTTTCGTTAACAGCCATCTCTGGTGTCAAAAGCCACCAATACTAGCAATCCGAGCCCATAGAATGTCATTACTAATGTCTTTGAACGACGCTTCAAACTACATACCAGAGCCTTTAATGTCTATAACTCGAACCGGGCGGCAGGGTTTACTAGCCAAGACTACAAGTCCTGTGGAGATGCATGCTGCATCAGAAACCCCCATACAGGGTAATCACAAAGCCAGCACGATACTTTCGCGGATCTGGAGATTCGTTAGAGACTTGTGGTTTAGGAAGTGTGGATATACCATTGAGTTTGAAAGTAGGTTGGGGACCCTCGAGTGACATCCCACTCGGTGGTCTTTTTTCTGTTGTCCGGTTAAACAGTAATGAAAATCTAGCAAGAATCAGGACGTTTCTTATTTAAGTTCCCACTGACTACAGACCGAGTCAGTAAAGCTATTCATTCCCTTCCAGAAAGCTAAGTACCCAGTTAGTTGAAAATATAAAGTTACTAAATAGCCCAATCTAATTTACCCAGATGTGTGGGAACTTATAAAAAGTTGTGGTTTGGGTCGATGACAGTATGTTTTCTCTACGTCCTTTATTTCACAACTTTATTTAGCTCCCTTTCAAACTTAACATAGTCATTAAATCTTACCTCTAACCTTCTAGGATTTTATTTCCTACCTGAAAACAAACACAACAATGGCTTATTGCTGTATATGCTAATAAGGTATGGGGACTGCTAAACATTTCTAGAACAAATATTGGTTTACCATCAGCTTCCGATCTGCAAATGTTACTTTACGACTACTTATAGTTTTTCAAGGATGTATTGTTTTTCTTCCATAGTCAGTCACGTACATTAAGAAACTAGCAGCTGTTACAAAAAACGAAGGGAGAAGGAGGCTGGTCGAGGAACTAATTCTTGCTAATTTATTCCGAAAAGCTCAAGAAATAGGTGCTACGAATGCTGATTATTCTTGAGGAATACAATACTCTCGTTATACTTCGATGTAAATAACAATATGATCTTATGATTTTTTAACATTAATGTGTACTGGTTTTCTAATGTATTCATATCTAACTAGACTTCTTGACATGATAAGAGTGTAGGGAACAATTGTAGCTTGGCTGATATCATGCACTTTGGTTTTTTATGATCGCTTAAGTGATTTGAATAAGATGAAAGTGACTTTTAAAAAGTGAAATTTTGGGACTAGAATTATCAATTGCATTACCAACAAGGATATTTTGACAAGGGAGTGTGATAAATGTTGGACTAGCAATTAGGCTAACTGAAGTAACTCGTCTTCTTTCCTTGAACCAAGACCATGCTTGTCCAAACGAACTATCGTTCCAATCAGATATTATGAGGGGATTTTCATATAAATGACCTACAAGTGAAAAAATGTAGCGTTAACATCAGTGTCTTTAACGTATGAATATGTACAATCTAATAAGTAAATATCACATACATGTATTCATTATTACAAAAAGTACGACTAGTAACTTTTACAGTTCTGGACGTATTTATTATTGGGCCATGGCCAAAGAACACATTACGTCGGGAAATAGAAACAGATGTGAAAAGAACGAACGACAACTGGGAAGAGTTGGTCAGGATTGGATGGAGAGTGCTGGTGGGCGGCCCATGTTCCTCCACGAGGAGTAACAGGCGTAAGTAGTGGTTTATCTGTGTAGTGATGATAGGTTGTATTGAAGAGTCCCAAAGTACTCATCGGGAAAGTCCATAAGGACCCAGAGAACGCTGGGAGACAATTTATCCAATCAGCGTTGAAGCTTGTCAGAAACATGTAGGAAGTGAAGAGTCACGTTTCTCATTGGATAGTTACCTATACTGTTACTGAATTTGGTATGGTTCCAAAAGTCCAAGGTCTTTTGTAATCCTAGAAAAGCCCTCGTTTTTCTGTACATGAACTAAACTTGGAGTAAGGCTTTTTTTCACATTTGACATTTTTCTCCTATGTTTAAGTTACGTATAGATTTATTAAAAGCAGCTAGAAAATCGAATCGAACGTTCATTCAGTAGAATTATCAGTTTGGAGTTTAAAGGAATGGAAATTTCACATTTTAGTTGGAAAACCCATCATCTCTAGAAGTTACTTATGGTTACCGGAGTTTTTAAGACTTTGAACATTACTACGAAAATAGACCCACGATAAATACATTCTTCCTCCTCTAAGATCACTCTTTGTATTTTTAACAATCACGGTTTTTAATAAACGTACCTAGTAACTGCACATTGAGATCAATTTTCCTATGTATTCCTTATTTGAAGATTGGTATTAGGTTACCTTGACCGAATTGAACGGTCACTGCAAACCAAATGCCTAGACTAGTCAGCTATAGTTTGGTTTTTACTCAATAAGTGTGGCTTATATGCTAGACTCGGAAGAGCATCAGTTTTCTACCAAAGAACGCATCTCGATACCGTGAGTATTAAAAAGAAACATGGCACGAACTGAGAATTTAGCCCCTCTTCTGATAAATTTGGACCAAAAAATATGCGATTACCAGATTCTTTAAAATTATCAGAACCGGTGGATGTTTATAATTTGATACTGCGCAAAAATAATCACGGCTGGAATACTTCTGGTGCTGTGTCTTAGATCAAAGCACCAAACGTTGTGCGTTCGAACCCCAGATAATAGCTATATCCACAGCATTCTATAAATAATTTCCACTTAAAGTCAGTCTTATATAATTGAATTATTTAAATGATGAATTAATCTTTAGTGAAACCAAACAATTTACACTAATGATATGTTTAGTTTAGAATCAAACTATTAAAGGCACTAATATCTCAATGAACTAATCAAAATTATCATCTCAAATATTTTTTCTATCAGATAATCTTATTCAGAAATAAAATTATATCCTATCTTTACCTTTGTATAAATCAAAATGTCCAAACCGGTCATTGTTATAGTGATGATCGTCATACATAGTTGGAAGTGACATTATAATATTAGTAGAGTTTTTATGACTTGGTTTATTCGTAGAATTTATAGAAGTATCTTTTGTTCGATGAGCATTACCTAAAGACTGTTTCGTCATCACACCTGTAAATGCATTAAGAATTTCTGAGACCTTTGATGGTTTCGATTCCTGATACAAATTTATTGTATTTACAGATCTAAATTTACATTTACGGGTGAATATAGGTGAGAATTCTTGCTGACTGGTCCGCGGACTCGCATATTTACTCCCTACACTATCCTTGAATCGTCGAACAGGACTTGTGTGTAGACTTGCTCCAGCAGATTTAACAGACCAAGGTGATGGGTGCAATGTTGGTATAGCATCCATGTGGATGTTTTGAAGATGCTCAGACTCTTGGTTGTTAGGAATGGTTCTATCTAAATGGGTCCCTGGTAAAAAATCGTAATGGCCAAGATTGGTTGATTTACATGCCTCCTGAATTAGAAAGGGATAAACAGAAAATATCAAACAAAAGAAATCTAGTCAGTATCAACGTAATTAATTTAAATCAAAAGATATCTATGACTGGATAAATGTGGTACCAAAACCTATGAAAAATTTGGTTGAATAAACATTTAAGTCAAGCTATACTTTTACCTGATAGTCGTGGAAAGAACGTGAACAATTTCCTCGTTATAACAAATAATCTGACAAGATAACTGTGATAAAGTTGGGGCTTTAAAACTGACTCTGATGCATAATAGTACTGGATGGTTAAGTAATGAATAGATTTCTATGAGATATGTTGAATTCATCGAACCTATAGTACACTACAGACTGATTCTGTCAACAATTTAGTGTATTAATATGCAAAAGTGCCTGTGTGGAATATTTTACTGCCTGTACTACGTAGTGTTATATCTTCGGAGTATTAAAAATGTTTCTGAATGAAAGCTTATCACTTCTATTAACTGTTTAGATTATAACACATACCAGTTGACAGTTAGTAGCACTATTTGATAAAATTGGACAATGCATATTCATGTACGTAACGAGTAATTGAATGAGTAACAATATTGACTAATAAGTAAAGATGGATAGTGACTAGCAGTGGAATCCAGGACGCGCGTCTCGTCCTATCTATGACTCATCAGCTGAGTGTACCTACAACTCTGAGATACAGGTACACCCAGCTGATGAGTCCTAGATAGGACGAGACGCGCGTCCTGGATTCCACTGCTAGTCACTATCCATCTTTGCTTATAATGCTTGTCAATTAAGGCAATGCGCATAGTATTCACATATGCCAATAAGAGACTGATCAATTGCAGTCCTAAACATCAATAGGAAGATTCAAGTAAACAATAGCAAGTGAATTAACAATGAAACATGTGTTTGGAAGACTACCTTTATGAAACTACATGCTATTGCTGGTTAAAACCATCAACTCAGAAAACATTAACAACTGAGCTCACAAAACAACGCTCAGATCTTGCCACTGTTATTTTTCTAAACAACGAAGACTAAAATTATTCAGACGCATAAAGGTCACTAAATCCTAAGAGCGTTAAACTTGCTGGTTTTAAGCGAGGTGAGACATTTACCAGAAAAATGTATGATGACTATATTTCTATTCACTAACTCGTGTTATGGATAAAAAAAATTAAACACCGGGTTTCCGTAAGTAATAGTGACGAGTCAAACTGCTAGTCACATTGTGCAGACCACGTAAATTCAACATGCCTTATGTAACGATGCTATAAAACGGAGACTACTTGAGATAAAATATTGGAAATTTGCATTTTGGATAGTAAAAGTTGTAGACTATTACTTTTGAGTAGAAATGGTATCATAATTGTAGTTGACAATCTCGTCAATACTCCAGTCCAAATGATTCATTATAGATTATGACAATACAATGTGAAAATAAGACCACAAATCTTTCCTCTATTCAATCATTATTGCACTGATTACATATTTGGCTTTTAAGTAGGAAGTGATACAAGAAATGTTATTTAGTTTGAATCAATGATATGTAAGACAGGAATTAGTTCGAAATATAACTCATCAGAAATTACTATTTCAAGCATGTATAGCTGTGGATGGACTGGCCAAATAAGATATTCGCGTCCTACCTCGTGTTATCGCATTCAATGTGATGATTCTCAACTTTTCCGTAAAAAGTTACTGAGCTATAATTAAGTAAATGTAATTAACAGGAATCAGTGTTCGCCATTCAAAATCAATTTCAACCAACGTATCCAACGTTATCAGTTCATTTCAATTAAACAGTGACTAATTAACTTTCCCGCAAATTTTAAATCATATCAGCTAAGTAGATATAACAATAAATGGGATAACGAAATATACATTTCTGTCATGGTTTTTAAAGAGTAGAATAAAGGTTCAGTATCAATCGTCTTTGCTGATAACTAAGATATCATTGGCTATGCGAGAATCCCAAATACTCAGGCCATTCTTTTTCAGAAACGGTGAAATTTCTAAGTAGTTTGATTAAACAGAAAGACATGCCAAAAAAAGTGTAATTTATTTGTTATGCTATGAATGACGAATGAGAATAAAGCTTGGCTACAAAATTTTCACTCAAAAATATTTCTAGTTAAATCTCGATAATGTGGTGCAATTTATGTGAATTAACTGTAGTTACACAATTAGTTAGTCTTTAATTTTATATAAATTCTTCAGTATGAAGACAGATTGTCTACTAGTTTGAAAAATAAAGTATGTTTCATAAGTATTACTTTGTATAGTCTTTTACGTGTACAAATATCGTGCAATTTTCATAAACACAAAGTAATACTTCCAGTGAAAAACCATAGTGTTGTAGTGTCAGTTGCTTTTACAAATCCATATAAGCACTCCTGTGCTTATTACCAGCTACCAACATAATTACTGTCGATATATGGGTAGATAGATTTAAACATACTTAGCTGGAATGCATAGAATTTTCTACTAGTATAAATGTGAGCGCCACCTGTTTTATAACCATGTTAAACGTGATGAAGTTGGGTATTGATAAAAAAATTACGTGACGTTCACTTCAATTTATCATCAGGAAAGATATACTGAAGAAAGGGAAAATTATGTTTTAAAAAAAAGTTGTGTAAAGATAACTCTTGTAAATCAACTTCACAACAAAGTCATAACAACATCTTTCACAGTACAACACTCAATATACACATATATTCCTCACTATAACTGGTTGTTCAGTAATTACTTCAGAACGCACTGTTTTATTTATCCAACTTATGTTGTTTAATATCCACTTATCTGAAGATTTATACTCCATTTCCGATTCTGATGGACAAACAGGTTGACAACATTTTGTGATAAAATTTGTACGGTTCATTTCTTCCGTCTTAGACAAATCCAATGATTGTTGTGTAATATTTTTCATAGGTTTAATTGCTATTTCAGCTGATCCTTTGGCTTGTGGTCCAAGTACCCTCATAAATTGAGTTGATGTATAATCAATATTTGGAGGCGAAGATGAATAATAACTGTTTGACATTCGATTATTTCGATAACCAGAACGATGATTAACAAGATTACCAACTGAATAAGCTTGCTAACAGTTCAAAATAACATTAACAGAGAACGTAATACGTGAGAGATTTGTTGACAGAATTTGATGAATGGTAAACTATATCAGCAACAGCTGTGTACAAGTGGAGAGTTCAATTCTTTATTGAAGGTAAGGACTTTTTATCAACTAGTAAGCTGAATTTCAAGTAAAATCAGTATTCTATTATGTACTCGATTTTTCATCCCAATGGATGATGAAGAAAGATGTAACTTACTTATCAGGTATGAGTTAACTGCGAAGGGAATACGGTCAGGCCTAGGATTTACAGATTGAAAGTCGGAATACTTTAATCGTCTCTCCATTCGAATGCTGATATCTGATCTGTCAAGCTGTTGTTAACCAATTCGGAAATTCTAACCACTCTCTTCTAGACATCCAAGCAATTATTTATTAATTAAAGTTAACCTTGCATTCGTCTACTTAAACAATTAGTGTTTGCACTAACGGGATTGAACACAATTGTTTTAATTAATTGATCTCTATTTTAGTTGGTTATCAGCCAATATATGATTACTTAATTTTTTTATTTGGCAAAGATTCATTTACTGCACTATTATGTCGTAAAATGTTGTTCAAAGTATATTAAAGTTATAACCAGTCGATTTCTCCAGGTTTCAATGATAATATTCGGTAAAACAGTCATGATACGATAGTTTAGTATCTCTCAATATACGGATAACCAGCCAGTATCTATTAGTAGAAAAAGTGGATTTACAACAATATAAATAATATAAGAGATTTTTGTCCTCATATACCATGCAATTAGGCTGAAAACGATTATCAGCATCTTACTGATTTTTTTGCCATAAATAAACTCGCATACACAACTACACTCACCACATGACGTGAGGCCAAATCGAGGCAAAAGCATTTATCCTACACTTCAAAGGATATTTAACCAGTAAAAAGTGTAAAGGATCAAATTTTTGTTTACTAATGTAAAACATTATGCAAATGAATACGTTAAATAGTTTTGCCTATTTTTTTAAAAAGAAGCCCTGATACATTCATTGTTATCAATCATTTACAACCTTAATATACTGTGATAATCTAATAATGTCTTTCTAGCTAGAAATTGTCATCTTTCCATTTTTCTGTGTTAAGAATTGATTTGTTTTAATAAAAACATTTGTGAGTTCCGTCAGAAGTGGGAAGGAAATAATGTGAACTGAATAAAAGGTTATATACATATTTTAAATATTACCTCTAACGTATGCGATATTACAAAAGGTGTTGTTAGTGATCGGTTCACAATATGAATTAAAACAATTTTATGAATGCTAACTCATGGTGATAAGAATTGGATGGAATTAGAAAAGAAGGCCCAGGACAGAGTGGGTTGGAGAATGCTGGTCGGCGACCTATGCTCCGTTAGGAGTAACAGGCGTAAGTAAGTAACTCATGGTGATAAAAAATAAGGTAATGGATTTTCAGAGCTCCATGTTTGCTTTTATGATAATTTGTAAATGGATTACTTTAGTTTAACTTAATTTATAAAGTAATTAAATATGTGTATGTGAAATCCACTAAGCACATCCATATAAATCATGTTAAGAAAAAAAGAATTCTCTAGTCAACATCATCAACTAATCTTAATTAAACAACCACTGAAAACCAGGAAATACTGGACAACTGTCTAATTCTAGTTTGGAACTTCCCAACAGTATGTATTCACAAACCCAGTGCATTTAAGCCTCGTCAACAGCCCTAAACCTTTAGGTTACTGAGCTGCCATCAAGTGGTCAACAACTTAGATTATTTAGCGAAATAGTACAACGATCTACTTTCGTTCATTGGTAAGTAACTTGACTCATACGAATTCAAAAAACAAAAACCTTTTTCTATTAATATGTACAGATGCAATTAAAGGCTGTTTGACTTACGGATGAACGGTCATAAAATTGTTTAATGGTATCATAGGAAACAGTGCCAAGAAAGCAAACACCATGTACACGTCCATAACGATCATAAGCGGTCAATTCAACATTAATGCATTCGCTATCTCGCAGAACACATTCGCCAAATGCCTAAATATTTTGAGTTGAAGTTTTATTAAAATATCACTATTAGTGTTTTATTTACTTATTTGAAAGATGAATAAATGAAAGGACGGTATCAATGAGAAATATGTCGTTCAATGTAAGCCATATAAAAAATATAAGAGAAACGAGTGAGGGCTCTGAGAGAAGTATAATGCTGTAGACTGAAATATTGATATCATACTACATATTTATAAGAATTATTATGCGCTAAGGACAGCTTGGGTTATCTAGGTCCAGAGTTGCTTGATTTCACTTTTTCACTTCTGTTCAGAATATACAGCTATCCTAAAATTCCCGTCTTCGTTATTTTATATTGGCGTGTAAACTATTAACGTTGAACTGTTGTGTGAGAGTCGCCGTTCTATCAGATCCGTTATACAGCCTGTTTGTATTAGGACAAGTTCAATGATTCCGCAATGAGCAGTTACCGTACCGAACTTCAAACATTATATATGTTAATTTCTGCGATTTTCACACTCTACGCGAGTAATTTTTGAAATCATCGAATAAGAAGAATGGGAATATTGATTTCATTGCTTGAAATGTTCTTTATACTCCTCTTTACTATTCACTAGCCTACTCATAATTTCGATATACACTCCTATGAGTTATTTCTTATTTAAGCCGTCAACAATTAGGAAAATGAACAAACACTGTTGAGTCTAATTCATGTTAATACTGATGGTTTAATAGAAAATTCATGGTTACTTGCAGAATAATGTTTTACGGTCAGAGTTAAGTTTCAGAAAGGGAATTTTTTAAAACCTGTTTCAAGTGATTCTGATTGAAATTTTTGTAAAAACCAAAATTTTAGAACGTTTGGAATTTTTACTTTCCCAAGGTCTCAAGTGTCATCATTTCAGTTTGTTTTCAGATTGTAAAGCGATATTCACTTGCATAAACCAATAATCCTACACAATATACAGTTTTTTGTCTAGTTTAACCGTCCGTTTGTTACTATTCAAACTTTACGAGTGAATGAATGTGGCGCATATATATCTGGTGCCCCCTTGTACCCATATTTATGTGTTCAAATAAATAAAATAAATAAATTACGAATGAACACTAACATAACTTAATAGTCCTACTTTTTCGGAAATTAGAACCTTATATATTAGTCACACACATGTATAACTTTATTTAAAAGGAGATCTTATAGTTGTTACAGGATTGGAAATTTTTCTATCCACTGAATGGAAAAATAGCTAATAAAGCAAATGAAAACGATATTGTATGATTATTAGTTGACTGCTTTAATATTTAGGATTCTGGAAGACAAATAAATAACTTGACTATTGTCAACCAGGTCTCCAAAGCACAATATAAAACTTAATACAAGCGCTGTTATTTCTACAAGTCAATTTTTCGCCTCTTTTCTTTTTGGCACCATGGTATGCTATTCACTAATCATAAGTAGATTGAAATTTATCCAACCATTCCTATGATTTATATATATCGTACTTACTCTTACTTACGCCTGATACTCTCGTGGAGTAGCATAGGCCAACAACCAGAATTCTCCATCCAACTCTGTCCTGGGTAAAACTTTCCGGTTGCTATTCATCCTTGTGATGTCTGCCTCTAATTCCGTGCGCTATCTATTCTCTGGCCTTCCTCTTTTCCGTTTCCCTCCAAGATTCCAAGTTAGTGTTTACCTTGTGATAGTTTGATGATTTCCGTAATTTATGTCCTATCCGCTTCCAACGAATTTTCGTAATTTCCTCTTCAGTTAGAAGTTGGTTTGTTCTTCCATATAGTAGGCTCTTGCTGATAGTATCCGGCCAACGGACAATCAGTATCTTACGTAGAAAATTGTTTATAAATACTTGTACCTTTTTGATGATGGTTGTGGTAGTTCTCCAAGTTTTAGCTCCGTACAGTAGGACTGCCTTGACGTTCGTATTGAAGATTCTGAATTTGATGTTGGTTGACAGACAGCTGTTTTGAGTTCAATATGTTCTTTAATTGTAGGAATGCGGCCCTTGCTTTGCTAATCCTCGCCTTTACGTCTGCATCGGATTCTCCTTATTCATCGATGATACTTCCCCGGTACGTGAAAGATTCCATCTTCCAGAGCTTCTCCATCAAGAGTGATTGGGTTGATGCTCTCCCTGTTTTATTTGAGGACCTTTCTATTTCCCTTATGTATGTTGAGGCCTACTGATGCAGAGACTTCTTCTACACTGTTTGTCTTGACTCACAGTTGTTGCTGTGTATGGGATAGAAAAGCCAAAACCAAATCGTCTAGTTGCATCCAACTTTTTCATTTTATTCCGTGTTTTCCGTCAGATATCGAGGTCTCCATAATCCAGTCAACCACCGGAAGAAAGAGCAAAGGAGAGAGTAAACACCCTTGTCTAACTCCGGTCCTCTCTCAGAATGCGTCTGTCAGCTGTCCTCCATGCATGACTTTGGAGTTTAGTCCGTCGTATGAATTCCGGATGGTGCTGACGACTTTCTCAGGTACTCCATAGTGTCCAACAAGGTTCAATAAAGTACTCCTATCCACACTGTCAAATGCTTCCTCAAGGTCGAGAAAGTTGATGCATAGTGACGAATTCCATTCAACTGATTGTTCAACAATAATCCACAGTGTCACGATTTAGTCTGTGCACGACCGATCATTAAGGAATCCGTCCTGTTGATCTCGAAGTTGGGCGTCTACTGAGTCTTCCATCTGCTTCAGCAACACTGTCGGAAACATTTCCTGGTACTGACAGTAGTGTGATGCCTCTGTAGTTCTCAAATGTGCTCAGGTCTACTTTCTTTGGTATCTTGATGAGGTATCCTTCTTTCCAGTCTATCGGCACTTTTTCCTCCTCCCAAGTATTCCTGTATAGAGTGTGAAGCATGCTTGGAGTTACTTTCATGTCTGACTTCAGAGCTGCAGCTGGTACATTGTCAGGTCCTGCTCTTCCTTTCTTGAATCTGGCCCAGAGTTTTGAATCTATATATCATAACGAGTGTTATGTCTGTATCAGCGAATCGATCACTTTATGCTATCCGTTTACATTCAAGTCTCTATGTTTCATTGAAGTCTGTTATTTTTGACAGTATTTTTCGCCTCGGTTAGCTTAAGTTTTTCATTTCTGTTTTATTCTTATTGCAAATTTGCTGTGTTTATTTTGTTTTCTTTAATAGACGGTATCGTTTAGACAATCTTGCTCTTTATGTTTCAGGATTCTCATATTGGAATAAAATACTCAAATTATTTCTATGAGTAAATTATAAAAAGTAGTATAGCTACTTTCTGTAATTTTGGCACTAAACATAAACTATGCACTGTAAGTTTTTTATGAAAAACTGATCAAAAATATGTTGGGTTTCGATTAAAAATTATCTAGTACACTGGGATTTTAGTTCGTTGGCGATTGGTTTCGCACCAGAACAGAATATTCCAAGATTCTGTACAAAATTTTTTCGGACAAGAAGCAATGGAATATAGTGTCAGTGTATCTAGGATACTAGGGCGAAAGTTAGTCGAAGGTTGTTTTTGTTTCATTCTTGGAAATTTGTTATAATTTTTGTTCCTAGTTCAATCGATCAAAGATATAACTATTATTATGAAACATAAGAAAGTCAGTATTATGATCAGTACAGCGACGAAAAAAGGTGAATCCGGAGTCTTCCTTTTAATTAAAGTTGTTTTTCTAAAGGCAGATTACTCCAATGAACTATGCAACAATCAGTTCCTTTTTGTAAGTTCAAATAGTGTGATATGAAAACTGTGATATTTAGAAAAGTGATAAACACTAAACCAGACAAAGTCGACGCCCTCTTTACTTACGCACACACGAACATGAATTATCAGTGGGAAAACATTGTATGTTATCACCGATATGAATGCATGTATAAAACTATAGTTATAAATTCGACTGAGGAAATGTCAAGATTCTGGAACAGGGGAGATTTCAAGAATGCAACGGAATTTCTGGACGCATGACATTCCAATGAATCAAGAATTAATAGACACATCAAATTAGACCTAATCCTTAAAAATACTCGAAAAAAGCCAACTAACGACACTATCAAAGGTCAGTGATTTGAATATAAGCACAGACAGCAAAACCTGCAACGACAACCAATCGCAAACCAGGTTACCAGAATAAATTGACTCAAGCCCTGTGGAATAACCAACGAGCTCACTTCTATATGGGATAAACCCTGATTATTTTGTTCAAAACGACAATGACAACTCTATAATTACACCATTCAGCTCTGAGAAGTGAACAACAATAAAAAGGTAGTGTTTTTGTAGAACACATATTTACTTGTCAAATGAATTTGAAACGAAAACTAGGAAAAGTCATGTTGGAGATCCTAGATCACAAGAAATCGTTTGGTAAATGTCTTAATATCGTAATTTTGTTTTGGAAATCTGAATTTCTCGTCTTCACGCTAAAAGTGCCCATTTTTACCTTTAGATTGCATTTCCCACTTGGAAAGACCCTAAATGTCTTTGGTTCGTTGCCCCTTTTAATGAGCTATTTTGTGACGCTTCCCAAGGACCTTTTTATACTGTATATATACTCTTGAGTTGTGCGCTTGGTTTGTTCGTGCTTCTGGCTGCTTGTGAAATATACTTCTCCGTCGGCTAAATCTGGTCTTTCCCTCTAGTTAGCAGGACCGGGTCGCATTGGAATAGTTTAGCTTGTCCTGTTGTTGTGTTGCAGACCATCGTTCCGTTCGCCGGTTTAAGTGAATCACAATCTCTGCAAACATAACAGGTCAGCTGAATAAAAAGTGATAATTGAAAAAATAATAGGCAGAAAGAATAACTGTTTATATCACCCCTGACACTAAGAGGACTAAAGATTATGAGTGCAGGTTAGACAGTAAAGTTTGATGATGATGTACCAATTTACAAGCCATGATAAAAACAAAAAAGTTCAAATTCAAAACTTAGTGAAATGACAATAGAGAGCTTGAATTGTACCATAATAATGCTTCAGATCAAACTATTAACAAATATCTTACTGTGATAGGCTTGTAGTGTTTATCTGAATTATAAAGTTTTCAATCTACCTTGAATACAATAAAACTGCATAAAAAACGTTCTAAATTAATTAAATCAGATGATAATAGTTTCTCTTAAATTGATTATATTGAGTAAATAAAGTAGGAAAAAGACTATGCACTGACAAACCAAATTGAACTATCTTACCTCTTCATAATTATCAATCGTAAAATAAAGATCTGGGTAAACTATTTCTTCATAACTTCCTTTCATATTCATTTGTCTATGGCTAGGAGATGCATAAACAGTCTACAACAATTGAGAAAACATGAAATTATTTATCTCCAAACATTCACTTGAGATATTTTCTGGGTTTTTTTCAAATAAATAAATGAAGTATAGCAACAATTTGAATAATTTTTTCTGGTTAGTGTTTTTTTAGCGAGTTAGATTTCTACGGGATGGGGACGCTAACCCCATGCCCAACCCTCCTCCTTTATCCGGGCTTGGGACCGGCAGTAGCCCCCGGAGGGACTATTAGCAACAACGTACTGTGGGAGAGAACAAACCAGATCCATGCGGAGGAAGAAATCAGGAAGAAGCGCTGGAAGTGGATAAGTCACACATTGAGGAAAGCACCCAACTGCGTCACAACACAAGCCCTCACATGGAATCCTGAAGGTCAAAGGAAAAGAGGAAGACCAAAGAACACATTACGCCGAGAAATGGAGATAGACATGAGAAAAATGAACAAGAATTGGATGGAACTAGAAAAGAAGACCCAGGACAGAGTGGGTTGGAGAATGCTGGTCAGCGGCCTATGCTCCATTGGGAGTAACAGGCATAAGTAAGTAAGTAAGTAATAGCAACAATTTAAATATTTAAATATTTTTTGTTATGAAACTGTCAAGTTCTAATGATTTATTAGTGTCATGAGTGAAATCTTCTATATAGACATTTAGTGTACCCATTGGAAAATGAATAATAATTCTTCAAAGACCATTTGAATTCATAAGCAAAAAAGAGTACAGAACTTGTAATCGTCTAAAAATAAAGCAAACATTGTTAAGGAAACTATTATATAAATAATCAACGAGTGATTTTATCAAACAACAAAATTGTATAGCATATTCAAAGTATAAACTGACCAGATTAAGTTTCAAAGAAAAATATCACATTTATGAGTTCTTAGTATGATCATTAAAAGAGAGACATTTCCAAGTAAATAACATAAACTAATAAGTGATTTGTCGATGAAATCAAAGGTCGATGACTACTGTTGATAACTTGAAAGTTTAAATAATAAATTAACACAATAGAAGTTTTAAACTACGCATACTATTGAATAATACTAAAATCTAAGTAGAAACAATAAAGTTTTAACTCATAATTCAAAAGTTATATAATTAGTTGACAAAGTCCAATTATCCATTGGTTTCCGTTAATCATACATTGATCTTTTAATATCATGTCTATCTACCATCTATTAAGAAATAAAACGTATGAAATCAGAGCTCTTAGATCAGTAAAATGTCTAATCAATAGTTTAATGAAATTAAAATCTAAAACGAATTAGACAATAAATTTTTACTCAATCAAGATATTCGCATTTATTATTGATGCCTGTATACAAAACTAATCGACTACAAAGAGTGAAAAAAAAGTTTGTTTCAGGAAAAAGAAAGAAATGCCAATTCAACACAAGTCAAATATAATTTACAAAAAAGTGATAAGAACTATGAAAATATTTCCTATGCGACTCAGTAAATCAAGTACTAATCTGTAAATACGGCTTTAACACACCATTTTTAGTATGAGATTTATGAATACTGGTCAGTTACGCCCAAATGCCCCGCTATGGACGAGGGTGGGGAAAGTTGGCTCTCCCTCTCAAAATACTCTCACATGGCCACGCGTATACAGCCACTTCAAGGGAAGTACTACTCACTGCCTTCTCGTGGTGGGGGTGTTGCTTACGAAATTGAGAGGACGAAAAGTGAATGTCTGGCGCTTTAACCGGGTTGGTGGATACGGAGGGTTCACCTAGGGGAGTTGGGAAACCCTGATTCCCAACCAATGGTGCATATAGGCTCCAGGATCCTGAATGAACAAATGACGTATGAACCAATTGTTAGTCACCGGATACCATGGGACTGCATCTCTTGGCATTGCTCCACTACCTTGTGGATCAGACCTGTAGGTCGGAGGCTCCGGGTGTGGCTCCCTAAGAAAACCACCTGCTTCGGTCTGGGCACCCGGGCAGTATCATAGCACATACACAAATTAAGTGACTTGTGTGGCACATATGTATTCGGTGCCCTTTGTACCAATACTTACGTGTTCAAATAAATAAACATTCTTTTTACATTTTTATACAATTTAACGTTACAATAGGCTAATAATTGAATGATTTATGCTGATTCGTCCAACAACTGAATAAACTGTTCATACCATAAAGAAGAATAGGACAGGATTGAGAAAGTAGAGGAATCTTTATTTCACTGATCAACATAAGCTTTAAAAAATGTTGATACTTACTTGCAAGAATCCGTTTTTATTAATAATAACAAATTCTAATTGACAAACCTTTTTTCTATTTATGAATGAATTGAATTTGCAATTTTTTTCCGAACTTCAGAACTAGTATTTTTATTCAGTCTCATAATTTTCTTATAATCCACTTAATGATAAGAGGACGGAAATTATCAGAACTATACTATATATTAGCGCAATACATTCCGAACAATTTGATCACACATATGCTTGTTGAGAGAATTTAAACCTCCCTTATTTGTTTAAAAACAGTGTATTCTCACCCTAAACCTATCCTGGTAATTTTCCTTTATCATCCAGCGTGGTGAGTTTTACATTGTTTTTAACATTTTTTCTTATCATCTTCGTTTCTTATTACCTCTCATTTGTCTAGTTGACCTTTAATTTTCATATACTTAGTGTTCATAACAAGCATATGTGTGAACAGATTGCTTGAAATGTATTGCGCTAATATGTCGTATAGTTCAGACAATCTTCGTTTTCTTATTACACTACCCAAATCTGTCAAAGGAGTGGATTTTTCCAAACACCTAATGATCAGTGTCTGGTGTGATGGCTTGCTGGTTAAAAGATTTAAGCGTCGGATTCCAGGTTCGAATCCCAGTTTCTATAATATTTTCACAATGCTGTGTATTTCTGTGTTTTTCAATGAGAAACAAAGAAATTTGATTTACAAATTCCATTATTATCCATTAAACCCATGAACTGACAACAAGAATCCATGTCAGGTCAGTACTTACGATAACGGTAAGAATGAAAACTAAGAACTTACTTGAGAAAATTTCTTTAAAATTTGCCACTCTTGAGGTCCAGTACGAGTGCATACAGCAACTGTCACAACATAAACAAACTAAATTGTAGAGAAAAATCACATGAAAAAGTAATCCAAGAAAAAACATTACAAGTATTAAATTGAACTAATAAAGAGTAATGAAACAAATAAATTGATTTCATTAACCGACTATTATTAATTTCTTGAATGAGTTACCTTAAATTGAAAACCCTTCAGTATGAAACTGTTATGATACCGAAATATCTTTTTCTATATGTTATTCTTGAAAGTATGTCAACATTATTATATCACTTCACAAGTTAACAACAATGATCTCGAAAGAAAACCTATAATGATTTTAGTCATTCACTTGATAATGTTGTAATGAATAGTCAGGAACATTCGATTTATGATCCTGTCATTTCTTCTTAACTAACATATAATCAGTGACGTTATATGATAAACAAATTTTGATAAATACTAACAGATTGTAAGTTTGCCATTTCTTGTTTCATTTTGATGATTTAACGAGTTCGTTGATCAAAAAAACGGTCGAAAAGGAATAATAAACTTTACAGTTAGTCAAAACTAGCTATACATCAAAGAAAAATTTAAAGGTAACAAATAGTAAGGCAGTCGTACAGAGTTAAATAAGCCAATATAAATTGATCATTCCATTTCTGGAAGCAAGAATGAATAACAGGAAAATAACACATAAATGATTTATAAAAGTATTCTTCAAATTCAAATTTCAAAATAATAATAATCATGACTACTAATTCTTAGGTCAAATTTAGTTACAATGCTTACACAGAAAACTATGGGAGCATAAGAAACTGGATTATTAAAGGTTGAATAGCAATGTACATAATTCATGAGTACACATAAATTTCAGGCTGATACAGATAGTAAATAAATCTCCTCACAACAGTACTCCTACATTTGCATCTATCATTCACCGTGTGGCCCTGAGACAAAATGTGACCCGTCAAGACTCGTCTAGTCCATTTTATTAAAAATTTACTTACTTGCATTTATTTGCATCATTTGATGTTAGAGCATACCATGGGACTATAGTTATATGGTTCCAGACGTTGAATAATACGGTCTAAAATTGGTTGCAGTGGGATGAGTGTATTCATATTTTTCTTTTTATATCAACATTATGAACTTAGAGTAATCTCCATGCTATTTGCTTAGTGAACTCATTCTTTATTTTTGAATCATAATTTCTATGTCGAGTCTTTTTACTATCATAGACACTAACATTACTTCAACTTTTTTGGTGCGTAACTTCTAACTTTCATCCCAGGTGAGGAAATGATGTATTCAGAAGTGGAACAAGACTTAAGACAAAAATTAGTAGATTTATCAACCAACCTGTGATATAATACAGGAAGCACAAACGGCTCGAAGGCTTTATAGAGTATTCTCGTATCTAATTATAACCGCTCTGATGCCCCTTTTGCACTCACTCACTTTAGATAGTATAGCATATTGAGGTAGATTATAGCTTATTGTTTTTAGTGCATCACTACATCAGTTACTGAGGATACTTTAAAGACTATGTACCAGGTTTGAATTATTATTTAGATTATCTAATCAGATCAAAATATTACCTGTGGGTAATCAGAAGAAACTGTTACCCACGTATATGGTTAGATCATAGTTAACGTAGAACCTGGTACAATTATATACCCACCTTTAATAAGAAATTCGAATGAAAATGGTAGATATTACAAATTTAGAGAAGATACCATAAAATCTCATACAATGTAATAGATAACTAGGAATTATTATCCGTATTTGAAAATTAAACACAGACTCAAATCGCGATCATGTCATTTAGGGTGAAGACGAGAGAAAAAATAGATCTTGTTGTCAAAGTAAGGATGAGCCGCTTTTTCACTGGAAATGACTATAATTATCATTTTATTTTTAAAAAATTACAAGTAACAGGAAATAAAATCAGCTTAACTAATTAATTAATAAGTGATCTTGTAGCAGACTATAATTAACGTCTACCTATACACGAGTGTTAGGTAAATCTTAATTCATGTCAAGGTCACTGAACCACTATTCTAAAAATAGATGTGCGTTTTTTCAACAACCCAATAAGTTCATGGGACAACACGATCTACATGAAAATCCTAATTGAAATGCCATGTTTAAAATTTTTTTAAATGATACTTACATATTGCATGAGTAAGTTGAGATACACTGTTTCCTCCCAATCGACATAATCATCTGTCAATTTTGGAAGATTTGAACTGTTTCTACGAAATACACTCAATTCTGGCTAGAAACAAAATTTACAATTATTCATTTGTTGTATAACTCTTCACAGAGTAAACTCAAACAATTTGAAGAAAAAGTAACAACAACAATAACCGTTCATGACAAAAAGAGGTTCGATAGCTTCTTACAATCAAAAAAGAAATTAAAGTTGCAACTTCTTCAGAATATTTACTGTTGAATACCAAGGAAAAAGCCACAGAGAAGTAATCATATCTTTCCAAAAAATAATTCAACAAGGTCTTTTCAATCTGATTGACTTCGACTACAACGATCCAGATATATTGGCATGATAATATAAATGAAATTCTAGTTCACTACATCACTTTGTTCCCCGAAAATTTTGAAATTCTTGATCTTCTTTGTTTTCCTACATAGATGTGCTTATGATTTGGATACATCTACGAGACATTAAAACAATTAGTTCGTGAAATACTTTCCTTAGATAATGAAACTCTATCACATTTACGATTGTTGTTTGAGATTTATATTATTGTCTCCAAACTGTATGTGGTTATATCCGGTCAGTTCACAAATTTCACTGTTTTATTATTTATGTGATTGACGGGACAGTGAAGTGTACTACTTACTATTGAACATTTTTACTATTAAAGCTTAAGTTGAATGACAAAGATAATATCTCAATGTTGAATTTAACAAAATTAACCTCTACGTCATAACATTTTTATGTGTGTTTTACATTAAAGATTTCACAAATGCTGGTAAGTACCCGTTGATAATTAGTTAGAATAAACAGAAAGCCCAAACTGTGTTTCCACTGAATCGTGTACAAAATAACCTAAGCCTAAATAATGAATTGCATAGCTCAAAAGGTGTACAGTACAGCTTAATTGATACACTATAATGAGCTGTACAAATTATAATTGAATAACTACTCAAAGACTTGTGTACTAACTCAAAACTTTGACATGTGGCGTAAACTTTTAACTAATGACTTAATTACTTAAGTTGAAAACAAAATTATAAAAAAATTTACTACCATGAAAAAACAATCTACTGGCAAAATTGGTTTTACATAAAATCTGTGCTATAGTATACAAAATACAAAATCCAAGTACATTGTTTGTCAAAAAATTTCATCTTATTTACAGAAAAAAAATTAAATATGTAAACGTAAAGACAGTTAATGATTAAGATATTTCGTCATTATTATTAGAATTGACAATAACTGACTATAGATTTACTAGTCAAATCATATTTATTTAAACAGAGTATAACAATATAAAGGAGACTAATATTAATCCATTGAATGTATTGATCTATATTATGTAATACACAAGTCGGAGATTAATATTGTAGCATGAATAAGCAGTGCTCCCAAATGCCCTGGTATGGCCGAGAGTGGGGTGGGTCCGCCCTCCCTCTCGAAATACTCTCAAACGGCCACGCGTATACAGCCTCTGCCAGGGAAGTCCTACTCACTGCCTTCTCGTGAAGAGGGTGTTGTTTACGAAAATGAGAGGACAAAAAGCGGATGTCCGGCGCTTTAGCCGGATCCCAAACCAATGGTGCACATGGGCTCCAGTATCCTGCGGGAAATGTCGTATGAACCAATCGTTGGTCACCGACTACCATGAGACTGCATCTCCTCACGATGCTCCACTGCCTTGTGGGTTAGACCTTTATGTCAAAGGCTCGGGTTGTGGCCCCCCAAGATAACCACCTGCTTCGGTCTGGGCACCCGGGTAGTATCACAGCCCACACACAAATATGATGAACAGTCGATAATTATGGAAAATACTTTTTTTGCTTCAATTAACAGTCAAACAATTCACATTATTATTGTTATTATTATTATTATTATTTACTACTTCATTTATTCACTCTCTTTTATTCTCACTCTATCTATCCTTATTTTTCGACTTATACAGCAGCTCGCCTATGGTGGAAATTCGGCTCTATCTAAACGTTCTCGAGTAGAGACGTTATCGGATGTGGCTCAGAATAGGAGCCAGTGGCGATCTTGCTGTAACGTTATTTTACTTTCTTCATAAAAAGTGGTTGTATTTTCCTTAACTGAAAGATCTCTTCTGATTGTACGTTTCTGTTCCCCCCATTATTATTACTAAACTACCTTACACTAATCTGTTCGTTATCGTTCTTTTTTTTACGTTCCTTACCTTTTTTTCCTTCTCTTCAAATTCTCATTATTTTGTGTTGCGCATATATATTTGGTGCCCTCTTGTACCAATATTTATGTGTTCACATAAATAAATAATAGTGCTTTTCCTGACTAATTTATAACTTAATCAGGGAAGTAAAATAAAGAGTAATAAGTGGATCAACACAACAATAAACCCCTGTTTGATAAAGAAAGAAAAATGATTTACTTTTGAAACTTCATTAAAAACCTAAGTAGACAACAAAAAAGTCAGGTTATTACTAAATGGAGCGATGAACTATGAATTAAATCACTTGATTGTCAAAAAGTAGGTGGTAGGCTTAAACACTGGTATAATTATTTCGATTTAGACGATTCGATAGTACTGATAACTTTCACAAAAACAAATTGGCTTAAACTCTCGAGTACACAAACTTGTACTTTGTAAATGAGTGCCATAATTACTAAGTGTAATTTTCTTCAACAGTACTATTTAAGCATATCCGAACATATTTTTACATGACCAACAAAATCACATTGAATGGTAATAGTATAAAATGAAATCTGCTTTAATAATATGTATAAAACGTGGAGTAATTGAAGGAAGATTCGCTGGTATTTAATAGTTCCACAAAATGGGAATAATATTCAAATGGTTTAGGCACTCACCCCCCAACTAGGTGATCATAAGTTTGAAATGACGCTACAAATAATATAAAACTGTAAGATGCTGTCATATCATGAGGAGTGAAAAAAATTTAGAACATAAACCTGAATGGTAAATAAGCGCCTAAAAAGACTAATTATTCAATTTGTGGAATGATCAAACGTGAATAAAAGTAAAGGTATCCTTATAAATATATTGCATTATGTTGATATGAAAGGCAGTCCATGAGTAAAAGTATAATGTTTAAATTACTTTTCTATCATTTTGTTTAAGATGGACAAAAAACAGAAGATCATCTCCTGGTCCGTCGACTGAATTCTCCAAAGCCGGTGAAAGAAATGCTTGAGTAAACAAATCGAACCAGAAATCATTATGGGAGTTAGTGAAAGCAACATCATAACTCTTTTTTAGAATGTTTTCTGAAAACATAGAAAGTCGGTAAGTTAAAGAAATTAATGAAGTATACTACTGCAATAAATTATATCATGAAAATAGAATTGAAATATAAAAAAACTGATAATCTCCATAGATAGCGTAGAAACAGATTTCAGATTTCATGAATCTCATACATACAAACAATCGATAAAACGTCATTTAAGTTATCCTCTAATACGAATCATATTAAAATAAGTGATTTAGTGAACTGCTGTAGCCTAAAGGAACTATAGAAAATTGATATCGCTTCAAGAACCAATAGTAATTCAGGATGGTTAGGCGGTCATTTCATTTACACTTGTGATGTTTCAAAAGTGACCGTCTACTTAAGAAGTGAAATCAAGAACCCTAACCATTTCAACTGGAACACAGTTGTTTCAATAGACCAGAATCACCCAATGCTTATTAAAAGATTGCATCCTGAGTATAATCGGTTAAAACATGACAAAATTTTTTGCATAAATTTAGCGATTGCTTTAGGAAATTCCACTATTTCACATTTTTCATTTATTTACATTTATATATTTTAATATTAGGCTGCTGTTCTTCTCTTAGTACTTTAAATGGGCAAAGTTTATTTTTAAAACAATATTAAATAAAACTTTGTCAGTAAAATGGAAGTGACCAACTAACCAGCACAAAGCTGTCGTTGCCGAATGATCGACTCCATAATAGAATTCAAAGTAATATTACCAACCGGAGTGTTATTTAGACGTCCAGTATTTACAATGGAATTATCACTTGGATTTTCTGGATCACACATAACCAGAAGAAATCAGATGATCTACTCTAAAAAGTAAGAAGAATATGAATGAATATATATATAAAATGAGGCTGTTAAAGAAGCAAAATGAAACCTTGACACGAACGAAAGTGTCTAAAACGTTTCCCAAAACCGAAAGTATTGTATAACATCTTTTGTGTTCAATCCTCAGTAAATAGGTTATGAGTTGATGTTTTGGACCGAAGGTGCTGAGCAATATGTAAAAGTATACATTTTTATGAACAATGTGATATCCAACCAATTTTGTACAAATTGAAGCTGAGAGTTAGAGATGAGGAGACAAAGCATAGAACTGGTCCATGAAGTAAATAACGTTGATTGATAGCCATGTAAGAAGAAGCAGACTTCTAGCGTATGAATGTAAAACCCAGATGATATTTCTATGAAATGACCACGATGGTATCCAACAACTTCTCACGGTACTAGAGACTGAAAGCTAGACGTAATGCCATCTAACTAACCACAATTGATTATCACATTTTACAAAAGGGGTTATAAGTTTTATTGTAATAACCACAGGGGAATCGGTTTGCCTGGCATAGTCTCAAGTATTGTGAGCAATCATCATTTTACACCAAACTAAGGTTCATGAAAACAGAACGAGAAAAAATCATGCTGGTTCGAGACCTAGACATGAATTTATTGGTCAAATATTATTCACCCTTCGTCAGGTTTCGGAACACAAGGATAATTACCAACGGTCGACAACAGATGTGTTTCGTGACTTAATGGCTCCACTTGACTGACTTGATCGAGAAATACAGTAGGAATGTTACTAAAAAGCGAATCAATGAAGTTTCTATAGATATAGAGAGTTCATCATTTGTGTGTGGGCTGTGACACTACCCGGGTGCCCAGACCGAAGCAGGTGGTTATCTTGGGGGGCCACAACCCGAGCCTTTGACATAAAGGTCTAACCCACAAGGCAGTGGAGCATCGTGAGGAGATGCAGTCTCATGGTAGTCGGTGACCAACGATTGGTTCATACGACATTTCCCGCAGGATACTGGAGCCCATGTGCACCATTGGTTTGGGATCCGGCTAAAGCGCCGGACATCCGCTTTTTGTCCTCTCATTTTCGTAAACAACACCCTCTTCACGAGAAGGCAGTGAGTAGGACTTCCCTGGCAGAGGCTGTATACGCGTGGCCGTTTGAGAGTATTTCGAGAGGGAGGGCGGACCCACCCCACTCTCGGCCATACCAGGGCATTTGGGGGCATATATATTTGGCGCATTCTTGTACCAATATTTATGTGTTCAAATAAATAGATAAATAAATAAAGAACTAATGAAGTACATAAACTTCGTGAAGGCTCTTTGCTTGAAGACTTTAGGTGGAGTTAGAATTTATGGCGAATTGTTATTAGAGTTGGCAGCCTCAACTGATGTGCCTCAGGGTTCTTCAATATCCCAACTTTTATATAACGTCATCATAGAAATTTTTTAGAAAAAAATGCTTTATCTGACTTTTAAAGGAATGAATTCCTACCAGAAGAATCGGCTAAAATGGTGCGGATGTAAACAATTTATGTTTTTCCCTAGACTCCTAGCTTTAGAATTATTCTACACATTTTACTTCATAAATTCATCCTTCCCCAAATCATATTTTCTATGTCTAGTGATTTTTAACTGCACCTGTACTACTACTACTTTTAACACTTGGCACTCATCTTGACAATTGAATCCCTTTGTGCTGCGTCAACCAGGAGCGGTGTGTGTCCGACTCTGCGTTGATTATAACGGACTGAATTCTGTGTACACCTGAACCTAGAAATGTGCGTCATTCCCCTAACCGACATTTGAGTATCCAATTTTTGAAACTAAGTTAGAACTACCATGTTTAACTGTTAGACGTGATTACTGAAATAACGTCTAGTGGGCATGACTATATTTTATTTAATGAACGATTGAAGTATGTGGAATCCTGTGTAGTGGTTCTTATTTTCCTGGTCAGACAATGTAATACCTAAGAGATACTTTTGTGGTAAACTCATAGTTAACGCATAAGTTTAGCATGCATTTAATTATAAAAATCACTTTCCCTTACGAAATACATTTCCATTAGATAACGAACGATGAAAACACCTAGACATGTAATGAGTGTTCAAAACGTTGTGTGGGCAGTTTTAAAAAATATGGTGCTTCAGCTTTAGCTCTTCAAAAAACTTAGCTGGGAAAAAACACTGGTTAGCATTGTCCTTAAAATCAGTTGGTGTGATCAACCACAAGATCAAAGATATCAAAGACAGAGACAAGGTTGCGAAGAACGGCCTGCCAAGTGAGTGTGAAGACGACTATTGGCCAATACTGTTTAAATCAACATATGAAACCTACACCAATTTATCAAGATACAAACACTTCAAACATAGTTATTCAGCAACAACGTAGAACTTCGTACGTACGCACAACAGTTCAAGTTGCCACACCACATTAACACAGAGACACAATTGTCGCTTCAAATCCCACAGTGGTAGAGGTAGTAAGAGTATTAGGGTTCGAAGATGTTATTTAAGGAGTGTAATCCAGTGAAATAAATTTGGGAAAAGAAAAAAGGATATAAAAAATCCACATTTGAATTTGGGAGAACACAAAGAATGGATGCACTTGCACCGTTGCAAACGACTTTGAGCCATGTCATTCAAGGTCTCTAAACATCGGTTGCTATCGTCTCGCGGATGACAAACACAGTAAAAAAATACTCTGGGAGCATGAAAATAAAGCGAGACAAACTGAAATTGTGAACCTGTAATACTTCCGTCTAAATGTTGGTTTTAATATTTTGAAAAGCTGACATATTATTAACCGTACGACAATATTATTGTAAATAATATTTCTTGGTAACTTCGGAGTTTTAAAAACTATGCCAAGTGTCTGTATTAAGAACGAACAAAAAATATAAATAACTAAATCGTACCTTTAAACTATTATGACAGATGTGCTTATGAGGAAATAGGGATTTAACGAAGACTCTACATGTTTAAAAACGTAACGCAGTACTGGAACTAGCCGCACGAAAATCCATCCGTCTTCATTATCCAACTACCTTGAAACAAGATGAGGAAAGCCATGCTATTGCTGTTATTTCTGCTCCATAAGCAACTATGCACTATACTACACACTATACTACCAGAGGGAAAATTAATGGTTGCGACATTTAAAAGTCTTGTAGACTATCTTCGGAAATTACGATGTTGGTTTATATTTGCTGTAACATATCCATTTGTCTCAGTTGATGTTACATCGATGAACAAGGCATCACCACCTGATGATACCATATGTTTCCCGTCTGAATTCACATATCCCACCTTGAAATTGAAATTAAGAATGTCTCTACCATTCCCGTTAGAAAATAATTTGTGTAGCGGCTCCATGACCTAAACTAGCTTCTAGCAATTTCACTGTGTGGAACATTATCCATATCTAAGACTGAATGGAGGGGCATTCGTAACTCTTCAACTCCGGGTAGAACATGCTAATGCAGTATATTCCGATTATCAAGCACTACATTACATCACATATCAAGTGGTTTCCATTCACTATCTATTTTGAACTTTGCTCGACAAGATAAAAGAACCGTTTTCCCTTTGAAATTTGTGTCTGAATGGTAAAAAAAATTTCCAAGTGATGAAAAGGCATGTTTCTTGTTGTTTTGAAAATAAAAAGTGCAGTCTCTACGCGATATTTAATGCATACAGTAAGATGCTTCATTGTTTTTTAAACCTCTAAGACTTTTTATTTATCATATTTACGCCGTTTTCAGGTGACTCAACAACTAGTGGCAATGGCGAAATGTCACTGATCTCTGGCCAAACCATCCATCGGACAGATCGCCGATTGTCGAACAGTTTAACGGGCCCCAGTAGAGTCAAGGACAGCTAATGCGGATCAACTGGTTAAAGACCACAGACTAGCACATGCAGCAATGAGTCTGCTACATAATTATTTAGTCTTTTACAGTAATGCGTTTCTATAATAAGGCCATGATTGTTTTATACAATCAGTAAGATTGCTGCATTGTGTGAATATCACAAAATTTGAGATCCACTTTTTGGATTAACTGTGCTGTGTTACTTCAGCGTAAGCTAGCTGGTCTCGTCTTTACGTCGAAATCGAATAGACCCCGACCAACCAACTGTGGAAAAACGCATTGCATGAACATGAACAATCTTAGTCTACATCCTAACTAGACACTTTTTCATACGTAATATGTCACTCAACGCTAGATGATAAGCTCTTTGCATCAGCCTTTTGAGAAATGGTCACGTTATTTGAACCCTCTAAACTTTAGTTTCATTGTTTGTCACCATTTTTACTGTCTGCTTGTTGGGATATTCAGGAAAATATCCCAAAAAATATCCTGTTAAGCCTAATGCTATCCTTGGACATGAAATGGTATCACCTTATTGGTCAATATTTATTTAACTTGTCATTTTCCTACTGGCCATTAGTGTACAATGTTATTTTCTATTTTATGGTACGTTGTGGTCTGCTTGACTGGTATATAAACAAAGTATGTTTGAAATATAATGATTCATATATCCGAGGCTGAAACTTGTGTTCTGAACTCAACTGGCTGGGTTAGACAGGGAAGCGAGACCAATCAGAACCCTAGGTCGTTCTACGTGTTTGCGCGTCTTTGGTCCGATCAATAATTTGCTACCCCTTAATCAGCAGCATTTATTTTTCACGTCATAACACTGCTATACGCTTTGTAATTGCTGTTATCTTACAGGGTAAATAATGGCTGGACTTTCTTATTACACTAAGGTCATTTTAATTCCTTTTCCGATTTATTTGCATGAGCTATGGGTATGACAAGTATCTAAACAACCTCTGAAAGTCTCCACGAACCCCACCATAGTACATGCTTTTATTCACACAATCAACTGTCATACTGATAATACCACAACGAACGTTCAGTGCAACTGCCAGTATGCGTAAGAACGATGTTGTTTCAATATGACATTCTAACACATCAGAACTATTGTAGCCTTTCAACTTCGACGTCGTGCTTTATTTTATAAAGTATTGTTTTTTCGTTGCTATTATCTAACAGATGATTTTGGTACATCAATTGGCTGTTTAACTGCTCAACGTTCTAAAACATATCCAGTTCGACTGGTGGTATGACGATACTATTATTCACACTAATCATCAGTTTACGCAGTCGAGAGAATCTTCTGCAAACTGAAAACGATGGTGTCGCCTCTATCGCAACACTGACAGCGTTTTTCATTGGTATAATTGGCATGAGTTCATAGTGACACTCTTGAATTCTTATGTCCTTTTAGATTTTTTACGTTTCACTTATCGAACAAACATACAGTACTCACTGCTTATCATTTCATAGAGACTTCATTGTGTCACCTTCGCTCTCGATTTGTAGTCTTCGATCCTTTCTGATCATGACAACAGTCATCGGCCTTTCAAACTCTGAATACAACTTGATCAGTAGCTTCGCATAACGAAATCTCGACCTCTCTTCACAGCTATACTTTCGTACTTACTGTTAGTCTGTTATAAATAGATATAACTAGAATTCAACACTTACGAACAGAAGCTGTAAACCACACTGTCTGACCTTACACTTTAAACCAATGACTGTACAAACATTGACATCAACTGATAATACACTTATTGTGCTATCACTGTAGAAGCATTACTCTTTCGGCAAACTTACCGTTTCTCGTCTGAGGAACTCAATCATATTTCAAAGCTATCTATTTCAACTCGACTTGATAGAACTCTTGAACGTTATATTTTTTTATTATTTCTGTGGTTACTCACTTTATATTCAACCAACGTTCTAGTAACTTATTATTATTTGCTGTTCCCGATCACATTCTGCCGCCCCCTTTCCATTTGTCTTACAGCTCAGCAATACTCGGAGGATTCATAATAATCGTTTGGCAACCTTCGGCGTGCAACTACTCCCAACATGTTTGGTGCCGATTCAAACTGCCATTGAATCCAGTGGGAGAGTATTTTGGGGTCAGCGAAATGTCACTGAGCCCTAGACATATCATCCGGCAGTTGGGTTACTGAATATCAAACAGATCATCGATCCCTGTCAAGGTCAAATACAAACAACGTGCATCAGTTAATCGTATGTCATGGACTGGCCCATGTGGTAATGGTCACACTTTCACGTGTACCTAATTTAACTAATATATTTGTGTAATAACGTCATTTATGTTGTACAGTCCTCAAAGCATCCATAGTACGAAGGGGTATTACGCGTTATGTGCTGACCGTGAGGTGAGACTCCGATGTTAGCTGTTGGTCACACTATTCCCGTCTAATTCGAGTAGGCCCACAATCATTTGACAGAGATCATCAACGTTGAGGATGCACAATATCATCTACATTTTTTGAAAAGTGGAGAAAACGTGGTCGCATTGTAGGACCATACATAGAAATTAGACAGAAGTAGAAAATCATCATCCCTGGAAATCTAATTATCTTCTTGGGTGACAAGTGTGACGGACAATTTCTTAAAGATTTGTTTGAGATAGTTTTTACAAGCTGGTTACCTACAAGGTGTTTTGGGAACCTTAAGGATTTCTTCCCGAATGAATAGTTTCCATGATATGTAACTGTCCCACATTTGTCCAGTCTTCCAGAAACCATTTTCCGGTGACTTGGGTGCTCAGTGTCATATTTACTGGCAATCGATTGATTCTAAATATAAGGACATAAAAAGTCTCACTCATTCAATAATTGAACCCACATTAATCAGAGATGACTTTTAGGCGAAACAAATAAATAAACTTTTAGTTATCACCCAACAACAGCTAAGTCATATTCAGATGACCGCAAGTATCTGTTATTTTTAAACCTACGTGACTTCATGCAGCAAGTAGTGTCTGACCTCACCAACAAACTTTCTGTAGTATCAGGATACAATTAACTGACTTATCTAATTCGGATTTTTTCATATGCCCTTCTCCCAAATTGTTCTCGGAGTTGTTTATTGCTGTGAGAAATCATCAAGACTCTACATTCTCCGTCCATTGTTTCCTTCAGGGCTTTAAGATTGTCATTTGGAATTAGATGGCTTACAATGGGCAAAACAGACAATAGATCTTGTCGTATATGCAATTTGCAATCCTTATCAGTTTGTTGCCCTGCCACCAAAACCAAGTGTCCGTTGTATGTTTTGTGGTATTGGCAGAAGTTATTGATAGTGAAGGACTTCAGGGTCATTCAAAAGGTTATCCACGTCCTTCATTAGCCATAGCTCCCTTCAACTGTGGTATCACAAAGCAGCTGATTTGTTGCAGATAACAGTGATCCTGACTCTGTAAAATATCTGTTAGCGATCATTTTCTCGGAATTGTTTAGTTAGTAAGAAGCTGTTCCTGCTCAATCTTTGGTTTTGTCTTGGTATCTAGTAAGGTACATTACATCTTCACCATAGGTTTTATTGTTATATTATCATTATTTTTATGCACTCCATGACTCAGAATAGTAAAATAAAACCAGATCATCCTGGACGTAGCAATATATCAGAAGAGTGTTCACGAGCAGCACACTTTTCAGGTTCAAACTTTTTGCTGGTCACGTCTTTGAGTCATCACTACCGCAATAAGGGGAGTAGGATGTAGTGGTCAATAAATTCAAAAAACAAATGTTATTCTAAGTCCTCAACACTGGTGATGACCTTACTAGTTACTAGATACGTCAGATTGTACATCTCTTACAACAACTAGCCAATTTAAATAATATACTTCTCAACACATTGACCATCTTCGAAATATTATCTTCGAACTCTTTCATTCCTAACCTCTGGTACACATGACTTTGGGATCTTCGACTAAAAAGCGTTATGGATAACAGAGTTGTTAAACACTGAATATCAATGATATCTTTACCGTCATTTAAAAATTAATTTCCATAGGTTAAGAATAATGTAATATGCAAATGTTAAAAGATAGAGTCCATGATCATGGGGTTTAATAAGTGCTTATCGATCTTGATCATAAATCACTCGAATTCCAGCACTTGACGTATAATAA